GACTCCACCCCACCTGATGTTAAGTGAAGGTGAAGTCCAGACGCAAAGATAGCTGATACGGCAGTTCTACCTGCCACACCAGCCATCCTCACCCTGCCGGCCTGCATGTTGCTTCTTCACGCCTCTTTTAAAGGATCCCAGGTTGTAAGAGGGAGGGAACACGAGAGCAGGCAAAGCATTCCATTTACGGATAGTGCGACAAAGAAATGAGTCACCAAATTTCTTTTGTACGCGTTGGAATTGTGGCCACAGTTAGACGGTGACAACGTAGGCCAACGCCCGTGGTCCTCTGAAGGAAAGGGGAAGGTGGAATAAGAGAGAATAACTCCTCAGAACACTCGCCGTGGTACAGACGATAGAACGCGCTTAATGACACCACGTCACGGCGTAATTGAAGAGGCTCAAGGTGTTTACGGACCTCACACCTAGCTCCCGCAAGTCTTACGGACCCCCCAGTGGTTACCCACCGAGGACCCCGCAACTCTTACGGGCGCTTTACGGTATAATATTTAATATATTAAAAAATACTTTGAAACGGTAACGTCCATGGTACAAAAACAGAAGACAAGAAGAAAAAAAATGTCTCTTAATTTTTCACTTGTCTATGCGTGTTTGCCGTTACTAAAATTGACATCTGTCTGTCCTTTTTTATTCCTCATAAAGAATAATGAAGTCAGACAAGATCAGTCAGTCAAGTATACAAATAGCGAATACGAACAGCTAAGTAAATTGGCGAAATTATGAAAAAATATTTGCCTCCTATCAGCATGTTTGAACCTTGAGCTTATCAGCCACCCACTAGGGCAAAACAATACATTATTAATGAATATTTACCGCTTCAGGTAGTTCCGTACTCCTTCCTAACCCTTACAGAATGCCAAAGCATTATTTCAACTTACATGTGTATCCGAAATTTGTTTATTTTATAGGTATTTAATATTTTATCAGAAGATATGTCTTGTATGTAAATGTAAATTGTTCTTTTCGTTCGTCTGGTACTAAAAAATTAAAATTTTTGTAAATTATCTAAATTGTAGATTACATTTTATAAAGAAAAAAGAGAAAATAATCAGAAGTGCAATACACAGATTACTAAGATTGTCTCTGAATGGCAATGTCAGTCGGGGCCGCGTTCGGAACCTGTGCTCCGGGTGCAACCAATTTTGACATGGCGATAGTGGCGCCCCCCTGAACTCACATTGTTGTTGTTTTGTTTTTATTTTGTTATGTTTATTTTATTACTTATTAATGTTATTGTTTCGTGTCGTCACTAAACCGGTTCCAACGGAAGACCAGCGCTGATGGCAACATCAGCACATACTGAGTTGGAACCGATTTGAGACAAAAAAAAATATGTGTGTTGTGATCTGTTTGTTGTGTGTGTGTTGTCTCAAATAAATTTATTTTTCTTTCTTTTCTTTCATATGATCAATAGTCGAATAACTAGTTTTTATAATACCATACACTCAATCATTTGTCTTAAAACCATCCATCTTATTCCATTTACATGCAAATATCGCTGGAGCGTCAACAACACCAAACTATAAAATTATGTTAACATTATACATAATGGATGGTGTTCACACAAAACAATGGATGTAACTCCATTTGTACTAAGTACTTTCAGCTCAGTCAATATTTCATAAAAATAATATAAAATATGTGATGTTTTAATTAAGTTAAAAGTAATGATCACTTTAAAATGATCTCACTTTGATTGGCAATGGTCGGGTCAAAGTTGTGGTCAGTCAACAATGGTGTCGATTCTGGCAGGATTCTCTAAACTTGAAACTAAATTTGACATCAGTCTGTCCTTTTCAGTCTGTATAGAAAATGACAGAGATACACTGTTGTCAAATTTATGTTTAGCTTTAGAGAATCATGCCAGAATCGACACCAATGGTATCCAATATATACTTACTGGGTTTTTCGTTGATGATCTAGGAAAAATACTATATAGATATAGAAGCGAAAAAAATATAACCACGTCTCAATCCTCCTATTCTGTTATTCAACTCTGAATTTGGATTCAACAATTATTTCGCTCCCGTTCGTAAACGATTGTCTTTAACATTGTTATTTAATTGTTATATTTCTGCATTAAAATTATATATATAATTCGTTCCCTTTTCAGATCAGCACGCCAGCAGATAAGCTAACATCCTATTTTCGTCAACCCTAACACTCAAAGTAGGTCGGGTAAGGGTTCAACGTGCTTCACGATAAATCGCTCTAGTTCGGTACAATAAGGTACAATATGGCTTGTGGTGTAAATACAAAAAACAGGGCCATTCAAATTTTAAGAAATTCGAATCAATTTCCATACTTATATTATGAATGCGAAAGTGTGTCTGTATGTTACCTCTTCACGCTTAAAGTAATATAGAAATGCTTTGAGTCTCGGTAAAAGGGAATAGAGTTTCTATCCGCGCAATCACACAATCAATGGTGTGAAGAAAATAGATTAGAATATTCAGCTAGAGGAGCTCGATGGCGCAGGTGGTTAGCGCGTTCGGCTGCGATGGTTGAAGTTAAGCAACTTTCGCAGTGGTCGGTCATTGGATGGGTGGCCAAAAACATCTATCTCGAGTTCCTCCGTGCTTCGGAAGGCACGTTAAGCCGTTGGTCCCGGCTGCATCTGCAGTCGTTAGCACCCGCCAATCCGCACTGGCCCCGCGTGGTGGGTCATGACCCAATCTCCCTATTCCATCCATACGGCCTGTGCCCCAGCAGTGGGGACATTAATAGGCTGATGATGATTCAGCTAGAAGTCTCAGAACGCAAAAATAAGTGTAATTTAATTCAATAACAAAAATGTTAGGATATAATAAATTTTTGACGTGACAACGTCTTAAATTAGGTTGCGGCTGGGAGTCACTTATGAAAAAGTGTAACGCTCGGTAACGTTACGATGAGTTTAAGTTTACATGTACAATGTTTTAGTAAACAAAATATATTTCTATAGTTAAAATTTGTGCAATTCTTATTTTCATTCAATTCCTTGTTCCTATTGTGCAATTTAATTATATTCATATCAATAAATATTCTACCGAGAAAAAGACGTTGTCACGTAAAATCTTCGCCCGTAAAACCGACTTTACAGGCAACCATTTTTTTGTTCTTTGCTATGATTGAATTTAAATTTAACATTTATTTCTTACGATTGTACGAGCAAATATGTATTCTGTAGCGATTTCTGATTCGTCTAGGGGGGTGGTTGTTTACTTAATCGGGCCCAGAATTCGTTCAGAAAGGAAGGTTCCGTTCCGATCGGTGATTGCAACCTAATTGAAAGTAAATAAGAATTTTTGAACGAAATAAACATTATAAATCACAACAACAGGGTATATTTTTGGATTGAATCGACTGATTATTATTTATTGTTTATTGAGCGTGTATGTGAAAATTGTATTGGACGTAAAAATTTCCAAATAAATTCTTTTAAAATATCTATCTACTATATAAAAATAAGTCGGGTTTTCCTTCCTGACGCTATAACTCCAGAACGCACGAACCGATTTCCACGGTTTTGCATTCGTTGGAAAGGTCTCGGGCTCCGTGAGGTTTATAGCAAAGAAAATTCAGGAAAAATTAAAAAAAAAAAACTTCTTTTAATCACCAAACGAAATGTTACAAAAAACGAAGCCATCTGGTGGCGAAACGGAGTTCGCGTGATTTGCTAGTTATATATAAAACTCAAAGGTGACTGACTGACATAGTGATCTATCAACGCACAGCCCAAACCACTGGACGGGTCGGGCTGAAATTTGGCATGCAGGTAGATGTTATGACGTAGGCATCCGCTAAGAAAGGATTTTCATCAATTCTACCCCCAAGGTGATAAAATAGACAATGAAAGTTTGTATGAAACTTTGTCAATTTTAAACCGATCGGGCTGAGACTTTGCATGCAGGTATAAGAAGAATCATAGATGAATGTCATTGTGTATAATACAAGCCTGAGAACAAAAACTGTAGTCTACACTTCAGCTCTACCTACACCGAAGCGAAGCGAGGGCGGACCGCTAGTATTTAATTAAGCGTGATACTTTATGTTTAAATTCCTAACTACTTAATTATTTTTTCTTTGAATCGATATTCAATCATGAAACAATTAGCGAATGAGATTTTCAACACATTAGAAATTTACGGTTTTTATGCAAAAGTTCCAACTTGATGTCACGTGTAAGTGGAGTCCCACCGAAAATTCCCGGTGCGGTAAATACAAGCGACAAATACAACCACAGTGTAGTTAGTATTTGCTATTCGTGCTTTTTCTATAAAGGAGTCCGTATAACATAATGCATAGTGAAAAATGTGTGCAATTTTTTGACGCGTATTTACTTTATTAAGTAAGGCAGATACAAAGTTACATCTTCCGATGTCCATTAAATTATCCTAGATCATAAATACCTATGTATATTAATTACATTCGATTATTCTTCATACATAAGTAAAAGATTGTCTAACTAGAAATATGTTAATACCAACTGGGTAACAGATATTGTCAAATAGAGATGTTTGTGTTTTTGACAGCTAGCTACTTGAACCAAATAATACGCGAGCCATTGTAACATAAACATATTCAGGGCATTAACCTTACAGTTTGACGCCGTCGTGGAATATTATTCAATAGCTACTACAACACCACCCGAGGGGTCCCACCAAACATAATAGGGAGCTGTTCGAATACGCGCTTCGCGACGAGCGGCCCACGCCGGCTTGCCAACTTTTCTACACATCGAAAGTTTCGCTACACCAAAAACTACACCAAAAAAAGTATAAACAACTTTATTTTTTGCGCTGTTACGTTCCGAAACTTTCCCTCTACCGGGGAACGCGTTCAAAAAATGTTTTAAGCAGATTAAAAAGTTGTACACGCGCGCCTCGCGGCCGCGGTAGCTACCCCACCGAGCCGGAACGCATCCTTTCACCCGTATCGATCGGAGAACACTTTATATATTTCACATGGCAGGAGCAAAGTAGTCTAAAATAAATTAATTACGTAATGCGATATGGAAAGGAAAGTTTCGCGCGGCGCGGGAAGGGGGCGCGGGGGGCGCCTAGGGGGATGGCGGGAAAAGTTTCGGGCGCGCAGCGCGGCGAGGCGAGGCGAACGGACGGTGTACTCACCCTTTCCTCCTCGCGGATCATCTCGGCGATGCCGGGGCGGATGTCGACGTCGTCGGCGTGCAGCGGTGGCGGCGGCGCGGCGAGGTCGGCGGGCGCGTCGGGCGCGGGCGAGGCGGGCGCGCGCGGGCTGGGCCCCGGACTGCGCTCCGCGGAAGCGCGCCGCCGCGACTTGGCCGGCGACTCAGCCTCGCGACTCACCGCCCGCTTGGACGCGCGCGCCTCCACGCCGCAACCGCCGCCGCCGTTACCACCGCTGCCAACCCCGCCAGGCCTCAGGACCGCCTGCTCGCCGCTCACGTCCGTCAAACCGCGAATCTTGAGCGTCTCCGCCACCTTCAGCAGCGCCGTGATCTGGTCCTGCGACACGTTTATCTCGCCGCGGTACATGAAGTCCACCACCGCTTTCAAGTCGCAGTACTTTATATCGCGCATTATTATGATCGGATGCCGGCACGGGTTATCCATGAACAGCGTCTGGAAGTACGGGCTGCACGCCGATAGCACCACTTTGTGCGCCTTCAGGCTCTGCCCTTCGCACGCGAGTGTCACGTCCACGAACGACTCGGTCTGCAGCAGCTGGTCGAAGCAGTTCGCCAGGTTGCTCTGGTAGTTGTTCCATCTCAGGCAGAATTGCTGGGGTGAGCCGTCGGCGTCTCGGCTCTCCATGGCCGCGGGTTCTTCCTCGGCCGGCATCGTACTAGCGGCACCGGTCTCGCATCTGCAACGTAACGCGGTTGTGTTGAGAGGACGCGACACATGCGACGCTGGCGCTGACTCGCGAGTCACTGAGCGGGCGAGGCGCGGCGCGGGGCGGGCGCGCGCGGGCGGCGGGCGGCGTTGGGCGGCGCCTCGCCCTCGCACCCAATGAGGCGCCGCGCCGCCCCGGCCACGCCCCCGCCTCGCTACGCTTCCCGCCCGCGCCCCGCTTCGATCACGCGCGGCGCCCGCGCACGCTTCTCACACTCGCGCGCCGCTCTCCGCTCGCCGCTCGCCGCAGCGCCCGCCGTGACGTGATGGACATTAACTAAATAATCATCTACTGCGCTACTTTAGAATTAGTTCGATCGTAAATTACATCACAATATGAGAACCATTTTGTTTAATACATTTTCTACACTTTGTGATAAACGAGTGATTGTTCCGTCAAATACCAAGACCGACAACTTTTCTTTTGATTAATTTTCATTTTTAATTTTTTGTAATGGATCATAACATCGAGATTGAAGAGTTTATGTTGAGGATTTCGTGACGGGTTGACACTTACAATTCACCGATCAAGTGCAAGACGCTGGTGCTGCACGATATATCCTATTAAGTTTAACACGTTATTACTTGTGAGTGTTGACTCGTGCTTGCTAGCCTGACACACTGGTTATGTGTTTTTAGGATGTAATGCAAGAGATGGCATTTGTTATAAAGTTAATTGGAATAACTGTGTATACCTTTTATTAAAATCATACAAAGTATTTTCAATAATAAGGTTGTAAAAATTATGTTATGTATGTATTTTGTTGGTGTACCATAATAAAATAAAATAAAATAAAATAAAAATTTCACCTGATTTGGTGTTAAATAGTTAAATTTTGCCCAATTCGTTGTTAGTTTAGTGAAATGTTTGATAAATTTTCTTTTTATTGAAGCGAAGTTAATCCAATGTTTGTGTCTTCCTATAGTACCTAATTCATTCAATCAGTATAACTAACTATATGGGCGATATTTTTTGTAAGTACAATGGAAATTCATCATTCATCGGTCATAATACGGAGTTAGAATTTTCGATATACGTAATTCAATTACCATAAGTGACAAATTGACGCTTATGCAAATTGAACGAAAGAAAGATTGTTTTAATTTGTTTACTTAACATAGCTAGTAAGAAATACATATTTACCTGAGTATTGAAGTATAAAAACGTTAATTTTTAATGAGCATTAACTAAGACAGTACTTAGAGTCGTATCGCTTAGAAACTAACCTAAACTAATTTAAATTTGCAACTTTTTTCGCTTGCGATCCCTTCTAAGTTGGAAAACAGAAAGTTATGTCATAATGGCAAATTTCTTTATATAAATCAGTTAGATCATACAATAAATGACCTAGCTCCCGATTTTGACCCACTGTCAGGTATCTCCTTCTATTTTAAACCCCTATAAATCCCAGCTTCGTTGAAATCTGGGTTCCTTTAAGAGAGGCGTGAAGAAGCATTCTTGCAGGCCGGCAAGGTGAGGATGGCTGGTGTGGCAGTTTATAACTGCTGTACCAGCTATCTTCGCGTCTGGACTTTATCACCACTTAACATCAGGTGGGGTAGAGTCATTTGCCGACTTGTCTATAATAAAGTTTCTGAGTTTAATAACTCGAGATGCGTAGGCAAATAGGGGTGATGACGGGGTACAGTAAGCGAAATTCTATTTAGTCCGTCAGTTAGATGATCAAAAAATAATGGACAAGTATTTTTTTTTTGGGCAATCAACCAAAAAATGACAAAGTTATAGCGCCTCAAAGAGTGTGAGTAGGGGCTCGTGACGTCACTTTTGAGTGAATTTTCACTTATAAGTGTACTCAAACGTGACGTCATGCGACTACTCAAATCAATATATCTCTGCAATGTTTATATTATGTGAAAAAAGAAAAAATACGTGTCCAGTACTTTTTGATAATCTACCTGATGAACGAAGAAAAAAAAATAGTCATCATCCCTATTTTATTGTTATTTTTGTCGTTAAATTTGTTATATCGAATAATTATATGTATATATTCGTTTTCTATTGTCTATAGTTTCAAAGGCGCCACTAATAATTCATAAATTTTATTATTTACATGTGTTTTCAATTTGTCTTTCTGTTTGTTTATTTAATTAAAATTCGGTCCATTCGTAGGAACTGTCTCTTAAGCATGATGTGGCTACCTTTAATAGAATTTTGCGTTTTGTATGTGTCGCTATAATGTTTAAAAATAAGGCTTAATGTAACTTTCTCTGGTGGTCCTAATAAATAAATAAATAAAATAAAACTAGTTTTTACGGGTTAATGCACGAAACTTTATTTATTTATTGACGTTTCTTTTTTTCAATAAAAATCATTATTCTGACGATGCAGACCTGAAAAGGCTGCGAAACGTCAATAAATAAATAAAGTTTCGTGCATTAACCCGTAAAAACTAGTTTTATTTAATGAGTGATGTGCGTCAAACCTAAGAAACAAATAAATAAAATACTAAAAGAACGCAACTCTACAAAGATAGTTTTTAGTTATGGCGCAAGTGGTTAGCGCGTTAGGCTGCAATCATTGAAGTTAAGCAACTTTCGCAGTGGTCGGTTATTGGATGGGTGACCAAAAATTTACTATCTCGAATTCCTCCGTGCTTCGGACGGCACGTTAAGCGGTTGGTCCCGGCTGCATCTGCAGTCGTGAGCACCCACCAATCCGCACTGGGCCCGCGTGGTGGGTCATGGCCCAATCCCCCTATTCCATCCATAGAGAAGGCCTGTGCCCCAGCAGTGGGGACATTAATAGGCTGATGATGAACTTTGTCCTTAAATGGAGCCGTTCATCTGTCTGGTTTACTTTTTATTGTTAAAAGGAGAGTTTGAAATTGTTTTAATCTATCTAATATATGAAATTCTCGTGTCGCGGTGTTTGTGGTTAAACTCCTCCGAAACGGCTCGACCGATTTTCGTGAAATTTTATAAGCAGTAAGTCTGAGAATCGGATGTAATCTATTTTTCATCCCCCTAAATTTTTTTTAATTTTAGATTTTTGTTTTTTTTAAGTTTTTTTATGATACAGCATTAGTAAAAACATATAACCCTGAATTTTCAACCCTTTACAATCAAACACTATTTTACCATCGCGATTTTTATTTTTAATAATTTCTTTTTTTTTCTCAATTCAATTTGATCTTCCGCCTTCACCGGTCGATAACCGATCAACGATCAATCGATCAGTTATCCCCGCTAGATGTCTACCTGGCAAGGGCGGATCCAGCTTTGGCGCCAGGGGGGGGGTCATATAGCCTGCTTTGGCGCCAGGGGGGGGGGGGGTCATATGGCCTGCTTTGGCGCCAGGGGGGGGTCATATAGTCGTGGTATATTAAATATTGAAAGTTCTTAAATAAAATCCCTCCGGGTTTGGTCCATCTGTACCCAGCCCAGGGGGGGGGGGGGGGGGGGGGTCATGATAAACTGATAACTGATAAAGACAGTTTTAACTATTAGTTCATTAAGTGATCTAATATAAATAAACACGTGTTGTGACTCCTGTCTTCCTCAATATATAGTTTTCGGCCATTTTTTTTTGGTTTCATTTGTGTATCGATCGTAGCAGTAACTTATACGTATTATTCAAATATTTCTGTGCATCTATTACGTTAATTTTACTCTCATCGTGAATTTATTATTAATTTCCAGTGCAATAATCATAATGTTAGTTACCATACTCCTCCGAAACGGCTTGACCGATTTTTATGAAATTTTATATGCATATTCAGTACGTCCGGGAATTGGCTACTATCTATTATTTTATTTTTATTTCTTGGGACATTTCTTTTATTGTTTGGTATTTAAAAATACTCTTCTACCATCAAACCCTATTTTTATGGCGGTACGAAGTTCGCTGGGTCAGCTGGTATATATATAAAACTCAAAGGTGACTGACTGACATAGTGATCTATCAACGCACAGCCCAAACCACTGGACGGATCGGGCTGAAATTTGGCATGCAGGTAGATGTTATGACGTAAGCATCCGCTAAGAAAGGATTTTGATCAATTCTACCCCCAAGGGGATAAAATACCGAAGCGGAGCGAGGGCGGGCCACTAGTGGGTTATAAGCAGTTAAAAAGTTAAATAAAAACATTGCATTATAATTTTTAATATTTTTAAGCATGTAACTGTTTGATGTTTCAATCTAAAGAAAATATAACTAGAAAAAAAATCCACGCGGACCAGGCAGCAAAAGGGACTCGAACCCGATAATGCGAGATGGCGCTGCCTTACAGCTTAAGAATGACGCAGCCATCAGGGCCGTGGTAGCATAATTGATCAGTGCATTCGCCCGGATTGCGAAGGGTGCTGGTTCGAGTCCCGTCTGCTGCCTGGTCCGCGTGGATTTTTTTTCTAGTTATGCCGTCGTCTGTAAACAGTATTCTTTGCCTGCGTATAAAAAAAAGGTTCCACGGGGTAGGGGATTATAGGTAGGATAGGGTGTCCGTGAGACAATGATAGTGACCTTTACACAGAACATCAAAAGTTAGTTTAGTGTCGCCACACACGGGCCACTGCCCACAACCACAAAACGCCGCCACCGGCATATTTCTTGTAGTTTTCATACATTTTATATGGACTCGCCACACACGGTACGCCGGTGGCAGCCACACGCTACAAATCGTCGTTGCTCGCTTCTTGTGGCCCGCGCCGGCCACTTAATCAAGGGCGGATCCAGCTTTGGCGCCAGGGGGGGGTCATATAGCCAGCTTTGGCGCCAGGGGGAGGGTCATATAGCCAGCTTTGGCGCCAGGGGGGGGCATATAGTTGTGGTATATTAAATATTGAAAGTACTTAAATAAAATCCCCCTGGGTTTGGTCCATCTGTACCCAGCCCAGGGGGGGGCATGACCCCCATGACCCCCCCTGCCCCTGGATCCGCCCTTGCACTTAATGCGCCGATACTAAACGCCGCCACACGTTACTCGCGCGATTCCCCACCCCTCTCTTAGTGGGCCGCTGTTGCGCGCTTCAGCCACTTCAGTAGCCGCTTCTAGCTTCTCGTGGCGGCGTTTGTGGCTGTGGCGTGTGGCCCGTGTGCGGCGACACTTATTGCTTAATTTTGGTGAAGGTGAATTCCTCAGACGGGCGCTTAAATTCAAGCGAAAAACCCGCTTTACTTTCCTAGACTAGGTATCATAATACCCTATTTCAACTTGGATACACAACAACTCGTTCGTTATGATTTTACATA